AACATCGACAGTAGATTCATAAATGGTGAATATTTTCGCAGTAAAAATTCTTTTTAAGCAAATGTAGGAAAGGTCCTTAAATGAATTTAACATATTTAAGTCCTTCAAGCAGATAAATATGGGGGAAGAACTTTCGAAAAACAGTCAGCATTGAGAAGAATTTTGTTTAAAAAAAATCAAAGGAATATATCCAGATCCTTCTATGCATGTGTGTGTACATTTTAAACTTTTTATTATAGAAATGTTCAATCATATACAATGTAGAGTAAATGATATGATGGACCTTATGTACCCATCACCCAGCTTCCAGTAATATTTTATCAAGGGATATTAATCACTGCCATGAAGACAGCTCCTTAGATGGATGTCACCACCTTTTCTGCATATTTTTTCTTGGCAAAATCCCATTTGAAAATGATAGACCTTGAATGGTATTTCAGTTCCATGGTATTTCCTTGAATTCAACACTGCCTAGTTTTGATTAAGCAAAGATCAGCATGGAAATGCTTGATCTATTAAGAATAAGTAAAAACAAGTTTTCATCTTGTTAAGGGGCTTGTTTGTTCTCTCTGCCTGGAGAAGAACCCCAAGTCTTAAGTAGACTTTAACATAAACATGGGGGAAAGCCTTCAAAAAACATTAAACATTGAGAAGCAACTCCTACTAAGGCCAGAGGACTGTTGGAAAACAAGAACTTTGTGTCAATTATGTATATAATGAACCTAGTTCTTAATTGATAAGAATCTCTGGATAGTGAAAGAAAACCCTGTCCCTATTAACACTGACTCCGCATTCCACAAATCTACTCTGTGTTTCTATGTATTTGCCTCCTCTGGACACTTCATATCAATGAGTTCATATAATTTGTGGCTTCTTATATCTGTTTTCTTTCACTTAGCACAGTGTTTTCAAGGTTCATCCATTTTAGCTTGTATCAATACTTCATTCCTTTATGTACACATTATATGTATATATATATATACAGACACAAAATATTTTATTATACGACTATACCACATTTTGTTCATTCATCAGTTGATAGACATTTGGGTTTTTGTCTTTGGGCTATTGTAAATAATGCTGCTATGAACATTTATGTACAGGTTTTTCTGTGGATGTACATTTTTCATTTATCTTGGGTATATACATAGGAGTGGAATTACTGGGTCATGTGGTAACACTATTTAATATTATGAGAAACTGCTAAACTGTTCTCCAGAGTGCTATCCCATTTTATAATCCTAGCAATGTAGAAGGGTTCCGATTTCTCTACATCCTCACCAACACTTGTTATTGCTTGTCTTTTTGATTTAAGTAATCATGTTTGATGAAGCCACTATATGTAAACCAAACAGTCAGTGAAGATATTTTTAATATGTATTAGCTTAAGTTGTTCTTTAAGCAGTTGTAATATCCACTGGCATTTTAATAAAAATTTTCACTGTGAGCTTAGCACTAAAATGAAAAGTTTAATGACTAATAACATAATCCCCCAACTTGTTTAACTTTTAGGAAAATTATTTTTTACTTTAAAAATAATGCATTCTTGAAGGGGAAAAGAGTAAATGATTCACCAGATGTAGTTGTTTTCTTAAAGCATAAATTTGTATTTATATACTTCTAAATTATCAGATAGACTGTATATATAGGCTTGATCCTTTAAAATATATAGGCTTGAGCTTTTAAAAATCATAATGAAATCCTGAAAGGTTGTTTATAATGGAATCGTTGACGTATTACATTAAATATTCTCAGGGTTCACTATTTAAGGAAATCTCCGTGTTTTTTAAGCTGTTCAGTAACTGATGATTATAACTTGATGGTTTAGATTTTTAAGAAAAGGAGTGCTCCATTATGTTGGGAATACAGGTATTTCAAGTAGTGTTCTGTATAGTCTGTCCTCATTATTTTCAGATTCTGTTTTTGCAGACTGACATACTGGCCAAAAATTTTCTTGTAACACAAAATCAGTACTTGTGGAGCTCTTGTGGTCATGTGTGGACATGTGCAGAGTGGTTTGAATTGCCCAGTATGCATGCCCCTAGTTGAGGTCAAACAAGGTGATGCTGTGCCTTCTTAGTTCAGATCTCAGACTCTAAACAAGTGTCTTTTTCATAGTCTTTTTAGTGCCACAATTTTTGCATTTTTTATGCTTTTTGTTGGCAATTTCACTGTTTAAAATGGCCTCTAAGCCTGGTGCTTAAGTTCTGTCCAGTGTTCCTGAGCCCAAGAAGGCTGTAATGTTCTCTACAGAGAAAATAACATGTGTTAGATAAGATTCATTCAGTCATTAGTTACAGAGCTGTTGGCTGTGAGTACAATGTTAATGAATCAACAATATGTATTAAATAAGGTGTCTTTATAAGAAACACACACAAAAAAGTTATATATTGATTGAATAATGAAAATGTATAACCAGAGACTCAGGAATTTAACTCTGTATGTCTTAAAGGAGTACTGGTTCAGGTATTTGCTAATCAGTGTTTGTGGGGACTTTATGTAATAGAACTTGCTGTAAATAATGAGAATCAACTATGTGTAATGAGTTCTTTCTTGCTGCTTTCAAGATTTCTTTGTTTGCATTTGGCTTTAGGTGATTTGATTATATTGTGTGTAGGTGGATTTCTTTGAGTTAATCCTAGTTGGAGTTTGTTAAGCTTCATGAATGTGTAGGTTCGTGTTTTTCAATTGGGGAAGTTTTTGGTCACTATTTTCTCAAGTACTCTTTCTATGCATTTCTCTCTCTTCTGTCTTGGGAATCCCATTATATAATGCTGATATAGTTGATGGTATCCACTGATCTCTGAGGCTCTTTTCTTTTTTTGTCATTCTTTTTTTACTGTTCCTCAGACTGGATAACCTTGATTTATCTTCACATCTGCTAATTCCTGCTCAAATCTGCTATTGAACCATTTAGTATATTTCTTCATGTCAGTTATTGTATTTTTCAACTCCAGAATTTCTATTTGGTGCTATTTTTTAAATATAAATTATGTATTTTATTAGTATTCTTTAATTAGTATTGCTGAGACCTCATTCTCATACTTTCCTTTAGTTTTTTAGATATGGTTTCCTTTAGTTCTTTAAACATATTCAAAATAGCTGATTTTAAGTCTTTGTCTAGTAAATCCAACATCTGGGCTTCCTCAAGAATGGTATTTTTTTTTTTTCCTGTGTATGGGCCATACTTTTTTTATTACTTAGTGTGTCTTGTAAATTTTAATTGGAAACTGAACATTTAAAATGATACAATATGGTAACTCTGGAAATCTGATTCTTTTCCCTTTCCAAGTGTATTCCAAGTCATGGCAAACACAGACCCTTGAAAGTGGGATCTTCCAGGTAGCCAGATAGACCATATAGTGATCATTTCTTGGGGAAGAAACTTTGAAGGAGCACTAGTCCAGTTCTGCTCCCTCTTGTGACTGCCTGCCTTATGGTTTTCACTGCAAGTGCAGCTGTTAGTTTTCAGGACGACTGTAGAGTTTGAGGATACTTTTATACTCAGGATAAAAGTGCCATGTATATAAAGACAGAGGCTGGAGAAGTGAGTGGCTGGAAGGAGGTCTGCAGACAGGATTCTTCCTCACCCTCACTCAGGCGCCAGTTTTCCCTCTGGATGTTCAAAGGGGAGCCCAGCAGGGTGTGCCAGTTCTTACACACTGGTAGTTTCTACAGAACCCCTGGCTCTGGGTAGGTTCAAATTGCAATGTCTAGACAGCTCTGGTTGCAGTTTCTGATACCTACAGCAGTGGAGTAGTGTGATTTGCCTCACATAGCTAACATCAGGGTTCACACTAGTCTGAACTGTCTGTACTCCCAAATAAAACAACAGTTCAAATATATTTTTACTAAATGTTATATTCAGTCTGTATTAAACTTCAAACTATATGATGTCTGTATATAGTTTGGTCTACTTGTTGATAACTTTCCCTTTTCCATTTTTTGTAGATATAAATAAATACAAATCATACTTTGTCACTCCTCATGGCCAATCATTATGCCTTCTTTATGGTTCTGTGATTGCATAAGGAACCTAGGAAGACAGGAGGGTTACAGGAGCTGGGGATGAGAGTGCTGTTCAGCTAGCAGCTATAGTCAGCTAACCTGGCTACCACTTGTAGCTCTGTGTTCAAGAGAATCTTGACTCTTAAGAAATCTCACAAACTGTTGAAGAAACAGCATTTCAAATCGTTACTTATAAGAAATCTGTTCCCCAATGTTCTTTTTTCAAATTAATGATAATAAGGCAATCACATCTATCCCTATCCAAATTTTCCATTATAATTAATGTGGCTTTACAAATTCTAATGTACAGCAGAAGCACTCAACAGGAGTTCTGAAGGAGGGTGGGCTGTCCAGATAGAAACTGTGATCTGTGAAAGAAAATCATCTGAATATCCTGAAAAAGACCCTATGCCATCCTGCCTCAACACCTTGCTATGGTGGTCCTTTGACCTGGTAAGCCCCACCCATCGCTTGTGCTTGTCAAAACCTATCCTACAATCAAGGCCTACTTCAGAGTAACATTATTCATAACAACCTTCCTGATTTCTCTCAGTCTTTGCTCATGTCTCCTTTTTTCAATCCCCCTTAAAGTTTTGTGAGTGCTGTACTTCTCAGCAGTCCTCACCACAGTCTGGGTACTTTTCTGATCTTCTCTGTGGCAGGTTTATGAGCTCTTTGAAGAGGAAATAAGGGTATGCTGAATATAACCAGGCCCTGCTGGATGTGTCACTTGTTACCCTCAGCTTTGGAGTGGTTTGTTTGGAATCAAACTTTTTTTGTTGTATTATTTTAGTTCTACAACTTGAGGAATTTTCTAACAGTCATCATGTCATAGTTCAGCTCTCATTGTTGTACCTGTGTTTGTAAGGTTATAATATGATTTCTTATTCGTAGCCTACCTTAGGGGATTATAGCATTTCAGGAGTTAATGTTCCAGAATTACTCATTGTCCTGTGACTTTCCTAACTTTATCTTATTTTTCCCCATTACAGGAAATGACTTAGAGGCCTTACAAATACATCTGTGCATTCTTGCTTCAGACTTTACAATTGAGGGCCAACTCAGTCTGGAAGCACCACTTATTAACATTACAAGGAAACTGCTACCTCAGCAAACAAAAAGGAAAGGAGGAGAAAACTTATAATAACAAAAGCCTTTTTTTTTTTAAATTGTTTTCAGAAAATATTAAAGGAAATTTGGAAATTTTTTGCATTGCAAAGAAGCTTTGCAGGTAAATGGATTTGGCAGGCAGGCTCTGTCAAAATTCTGCAGACGTTTGATCTTCCTTCTTTAAGACTTAGAGTGAAGTAATTCTGTACTGCTTTTTAAATTGCTGTTGATCAGCTTATGGGTTTTTGGGTTCTAACTTTTCTGGTATACTGAAGATACATTATATTACATTATATTAATTTTTTAAAGTTAAGTTATTTTTCTGCCATTGTAAATACAAGTATCAAAATATTCTTACAAAGTAATTATAGTTAAACATTTTTTTCAGCAAACATCTTTTTATTCAGAGTGTGATGCTAGCAGTTCTTATACAACAGTTTGGACACATTTTTACTTTTTGTCAGAAGTCCTGCCCACACTGAACATACTAATTATACAAACCTGTTGTTCTCACATCTACGTTGGATGACATGGTCACCTTCCTCATGGAAATGCCTTTCTTAAAACTTAGATTTGCAGAACTCCACTATTTTTATACCTAGCTACAGTTTTGGGAAAGGAAATCAGAACCTGACCTGCTCACAGCTGCTGAGACAGTCCCCGTCCCGCATGTATTGCTGCAGTGCCCAAGACAGTAAGATGGACTACAAGCGGCGCTTCCTGCTTGGCGGGTCCAAGCAGAAGGTCCAGCAGCACCAGCAGTGCCCACTGCCCGAGCTAGGCCGGGCCCTGAGCACGCCCGTGGCACCTGCAGCCTCCGCTGCCCCCCTGGGCAGCCTCTCTGCTGCGGGCAGCTGCCACCACGCCATGCCCCACTCCACTCCCATCGCTGACATCCAGCAGGGCATCTCCAAGTACCTGGATGCCCTCAATGTCTTCTGTCGCGCCAGCACTTTCCTCACAGACCTCTTCAGTACTGTGTTCAGGAACACTCACTATGCCAGGGCAGCCACGCAGCTCAGAGATATGCAGGAGCATGTCATGGAAGCAGCCAGCCGGCTGACTTCAGCCATAAAGCCCGAGATTGCCAAGATGCTGATGGAACTCAGTGCTGGAGCTGCAAACTTCACAGACCAGAAGGAATTCAGTCTCCAGGATATTGAGGTAGAGTATCTTCTGTGTCATAGTAGGCCAGGAAAATACATTCCAGAGGTAAGTGAGAATGCTTAGTTTTTCCCCAAATCACTGTAATGATGGTCTTCATCCTCTTTCTTTTGATACTCTGTCCTTTTAAGAAACGTGTGCATGCCACATTCTGAATTGCTTTCATTTCAAATTAAGTAGGTTAACAGACCATTAAACAAACAAGTCAGTCTACATTTTATGTTGTTTTCAAATCAAAACTTAATTTCCAAATAACATACTATTGAAAGTACATAGTGGGGACTGAGAAATCGAAATATGATTTTGAACTTAATGTGTGAATTATTATCATGTAGAACCATTGGTTTAATGTAGAAAGTTTCACACGTTTGTAGGATAAAATAATTTTCCACTTCTAAATTCACAGCTATTCACATTTGTATACATTTGATTCTTATTCAGTACATTTCTTAGGGTCTTTGATAGTCAAAATGAAATATTTTCCCTCTTTCAGGGCTTTAGATTAGAATATAAACTTCATTCAGAATAAAGATGACCTTTTTCCTTCCTTCATTTAGGAAATGATTTATTAAAGTGTTCTGTTATATTAGTGTCACTGCTAGACTTTAAAAATTGTTTTTAGCTGCTCAGAGGGTTCTTCTGAGTTTTATATTTCCATTTGTCCTTCTACATTTTAGGAGTACGTTAGAGGTTGGATTCCTGGATGGTAGGAGGGAGAATGTCCCTTTCCCTGTGCTGGGGCTAAATTTGATTTTAGGAAATCACCAGTCTTCTGAGCCACATCTGATGATTGAGGTGCCTGAATGAACTAACTTATATTACTGTGAATTTAGGGGGGAAAAGAAGTAGACTATTAAGTAATGTAATTTTTATTGGGTTTAAAAGTTATTTTGAAGGCATTTCCAAGAGTTGAGAACTATTTTTGAAAAGATACAGTATTCTTGGTGTAAATCAGGAATCATCAGATGTTTCCTGTAGAGGGTGAATAGTAAATTTTAGGCTTCATGGGCCACATGTGATTACTGTCCTATAGTCTTCTTTGGGTTTTTTTAATAATCCTTTAAAAATGTAAAATCCAAGTTTTACCTTATGGCATTGTCTATTGTACTAGGTTTTCACTAAACCTGCTGGTATAGTTGTATAATAACCTCCTTGGGTCATTCTATTTTGAATCTGTGCAATTATATTTATAATTTCTGATTATTTCTGTGATCATATTTTTAGGAAAATTATCTTATTGAAATATTTTTTAAATGACTTGTCATAGTTTAAGGTATTTTTTGAATTACACATGTAAATTATACATAAAGCATGGTCGTTAAAAATGTATTTCTCAAAAGAAATTCAAGTGGTGAAACTTAAAATCACTGCTTTACTCTCCCATCCCATTGCTCTTCCCAGAATGACCACTGTTAACTAGTTGGTATGTGCCATGGTAAATTATTTTCTGTACATGCACAGATACATATGTGTGTAAATGTACAAACATACAGCTTTTGCTTTTGTTTGTTTTGCATAAAGAATCACAGTGCTCAGCCACCATTGTGCCTGGTTGCTGCTTTCCAGAGATATGGCAAGAGAGCAGTTAGGGACTCTTTGCCTTCTCTCAGAAGGTATTTAACTGTTGGCCCAGACTGTTGCAACTATCATCCTGTGATAACATAAGCACTTTTAGCCTTACTTAGAATTTCAGACGAGTGGTTTGAAAAATAAGGCTAAAACTTTTTATTTTAAACTGAACATTATTGAATTCTTCTGGTCATGCCTCCAGATGCTGGAGGAGACAGCTAGATTTCACGGCTGTTTGCTCTTCAGCCCTGCAGAGCAAATGCCCTTGTTCCCAGGTCAGGACAACTAGAGAAGGGTGAATGAACCCTGTGGAGTAGGGGTTGAGTAAGCCACTGGGTTTAGTATATACAGTAGCACCTAACTGGTTCTTTTTGCTTTCCTGAGTCCAGCATGGACCACTTGAGCTGAGAAGGAGAAAGATTTCTTATTGCTGTGCCTTAGAGTTTTGATAGCCTTCCCCATTGAAATACAATTAGAATACCTGGAGTACAACCACGTTTCTGTACATAATGAGCTAAACAGGCTTTCAGAAGCTAGGCTGGAAATAAGTGCTGTTGATAGGTTTTAGAATCTATGCGTGTATTCTGAGTTTCAAACAGCTGACTTACCAAGTAAGTTCTAAAATGTGATTGCCAAGTGTAGGCCTGCAGACTTAACATTTTGCTCTTTCCACAGAGCAGTATTTGTTGTTTCTGGAATTTATGTACTTCCATGGGCTAATAAGGGTCGGTCTCTGCTCACCAAGTCAGATGGAATGGCTAGGCATTTGGATTTTTTTTCTGTTGGTCTTTTTAGGGTTTTACCAGCAAGGCCCTGAGAGTTTAACACTCATTCCTGGGGAAAGAAGTCTGTGGCCTAACATTGCTGAGCTTCACTGGTTAGGCAAAGACCTCAGCTCAGAAGCTTCTTCTAAAAGCTAAAATCTGAGGACAATTTAGATAATAAAAGATTCACCTCAATGAAAGAATTATCCAAAAAGGCTGACTAGAAATTAGCAACAGACTGAAAACTGGATTCATACAAACTTTTTATGAAATGAACTTCAGTTTTGGGTTAATAACAACAATTTGAATTTTCATTTGGCACACAGAGTTAGGAAACATTTACTCCACAATCTGCTATGGAAGATCTACTAGTCAAAACAAGGAAGATGTAACACCAGCTTTTACCTTTAGTAAAAAAAAAAAAAAGGAATATTATGCAAATTTATTCCATTAAGGTTGATGAAACTCACATTTTGAAACCAGCTTTGTAATTTTCCATTAATGTCACTCTACAGTATTTTTGGCTTATACTTCTCCAAAATAAATGTTAATATACCTGAATTAAGGCTCTTAAGAGTTACTGAGTGCTCACAAATTATTTTAAACAGGTTGATAGGTAATCACACATAGTATACTAAAGACATGTCAGTGCATCAAACTGAAAGCCAAGGTTCTTTGTTCATAAAGATTGATTTAAAGTCTGCCTGCCCATTTACAAGGTGGTGGTACTGGGAAAGACAATAAAAATGCCAGAAGATATAAAATTAGTCCCTTTAAAGACCTACTCCCAGGAACGCTGTAACTGCCCTGGGCATCTGAAATGCAGAGCACCTGACTGGAGAGCCAAGTCCTCCCAACACTGAGGCCCCAACATGAAACCAGAGCCTGGAGTGGTCAGGATGGTGGTCTGGGGGTAGGGGTGTAGAAAGCAAGGGTAGAAGTGGCATCTCTCACTGCACACAGGTGACAGATCCCATCCTGCTGCCCTCCCTTCACAGGCTGACCTCTGTACCTTTCTAACCTTACTCCTGGTACCCTCCCTCTCCCTCACTGTTTCCAGCCACAACAGGGTCCTCGCTGCTCTCCGAACAATCAGGTTTGCTCCTTCCTCAAGAACTCTGTACTAGCTGTTCCCTCACCCAGAATCCTTTTCCTGGTTACTCTTCCATCTTATTCAGGTCTTTATTCCATCAGAAAGACAGGAAGGAAGGAAGGGAGGGAGGGAAGAAGAAAAAAGAAAGCAGACAGAAAGAAAGAAAGAAAGAGAGAGAGAGAGAGAGAAAGATGATAGGTAGATGATAGATAGATAGATAGATAGATNGACAGACAGACAGACAGACAGACAGACAGACAGACAGACAGATAGATTAGATAGATAGATAGATAGATAGATAGATAGATAGATAGATAGATAGATAGATAGATAGATAGATGGATAGATGGATAAATGCAACAGGATCCAAATGAAGTTACTTGTGCTAAGCTCCATGCCAACAAACAAAGACTGAACACCTAACCTAATTGCAATTTCAGCTTCTCCACACCAAGCAGTATGGGTCATTTCTGACACTCTACCTGGAGATAGCATCAAATCTCACAGGTTAAGGGCTCAGTCCCACAAAACTGCCCCCTTCCCTTTTAGACACTAATCATAACTCCAGGGTGTCACCTGTACTTTTTACCAACTTGCTATAAATCAGAAGTTTTCATAACCCCCTTTACAAGTTCAATTAATTTGCTAAAGCAACTCACAGAATTCAGAAAAACCTTTCACCTCCTAGATTATAAAAAGATACAACTCAGAAATGACCAGATGGAAGAGGGGCATAAAGCAAGGTGTAGGAAGGGATGTGGAGCTTCCATGCCTTCTACAGGTGTGCTACCCTCCACCCTCCCAGCACCTCCATGTGGTCACCAACCAAAGCTCTCTGAACCCTGTCTTTGCAGTTTGTCAATGCTTCATTATATAGGTGTGTTTAATGAAATCATTGGGCATTCATTGTTGATCCTGCATCCAGCCTAACCTCTCCTCTCTCCAGAGGAGCGGGGCTGAAACTTCCAAACTGCTAGTAATGTGGTTAGTTCCACTGGCAACTGGCCCCCATCCTTAGGGGCTTTCCAAAAATTACCTCATTAATAGAAACTCAAGTATAGTTGAAAGAGGCTTGTTATGAATAACGAAAGAGACTTTATCTCTCGTCACTTAGAAAATTTCAAGGATTTTAAGAGCTGTGTGCCAGGAACCTTGAAAGACCAAAATACTAATTTCTTACTGTAAATCAATTTCACAGGGAGTGTTATTGAGGAAGGTGTAGGAAGGAAAAGAAAATCAGGTGCTTTTCAGAAAAATGAAGAAAATAAAACTGAGTCAAGAAAGAAAATGAGAATAGGCAAAAGAGACCTGAAGGCAGGACCCCAGCATCAGGTAGGAGTCTAGGAAAGAATGATGTGCCCTAATTTTGGTGACTAAAATGGCAATGTTGCTTTCTTTCTGGAAAATATAATTTAAAATTTCATAGTTGGTAAAAAGGCTTGAGTGAAAATAAGGGAAAAATCAGGTTTGGTGGGCAATTAGAAGGAAACACTTATAAAATTATGAGTTTGTGTATGTAATTTCATGCAAACTAGCTTTCCTAATTATTTTCTATTCTAAATTTTTATGGTTGCTGGTCAGCTTGTGAGATTTCATAGGATTGGATAATAGCCTGTTTTGGC